GCTAGAGCAGTCGCCACCTTGCAGGACCACCCCCCCCCCCTTTTTCCCCATCCCCCGCAAAAAAAAACCGTTTTTTTCACTCGAGAGAAAAAGGGGCCTCACCGCATATTTCAAATCGGTTCCCAAGCAGGAGAGCCCACCCTTCTATCCACTAATAAAGAAAAGGACTCTTGTAACGCTTTCGGGTGTTTTGAGAACATAATGCTAGTTCAGTGTTTTCCAGACTTGTTTTGCTCACCGCCCACTTTTCAGTGAAACAAATCGCCAGGCAGCACCTCTCCCTGAAAATATAATCACCATCATCATCATTATATGCCACGCCCAAAAGCATAGTTGGTCATCCTTCGCCATCGTACAGCAGAATCAAGTGCTGTTTCTGGTCATGCCACGTGCTTGTGGCCAGACCAACAAGACATCTATCTCTTTGCTTGCCTTCAGTCCTCTTTCTGTCAATTCTGTTAGTAATCGCGTTCTTGGGATTATTCCTTGCCCTGAAATATACCTTCTGTAATTAAACAAAAAGAAGGATTTAGTGACACTGGTGTTTTGTATCGTCCTTCTTTCCTCGCCTTACAACATGCTTTGGTCTATGATTTTTTGGGTCTTCGCTCCACTTCACCTTAATGGATTGTTTTAAGGGTGTCTTAGGCTTTTTGAATCTCCAGTACAGATGGGGCTGTACGAGGTTTCTTGAATCTCCAATACAGATGGGGCTGCACGAGGTTTCTTGAATCTCCAATACAGATGGGGCTGCACGAGGTTTCTTGAATCTCAGTACAGATGGGGCTGCACGAGGTTTCTTGAATCTCCAGTACAGATGGGGCTGCACGAGGTTTCTTGAATCTCCAATACAGATGGGGCTGCACGAGGTTTCTTGAATCTCCAATACAGATGGGGCTGCACGAGGTTTCTTGAATCTCCAATACAGATGAGGCTGCACGAGGTTTCTTGAATCTCCAATACAGATGGGGCTGCACGAGGTTTCTTGAATCTCCAATACAGATAGGGCTGCACGAGGTTTCTTGAATCTCCAATACAGATGGGCTGCACGAGGTTTCTTGAAACTCCAGTACAGATGGGGCTGCACGAGGTTTTTTGAATCTCCATTACAGATGGGGCTGCACGAGGTTTCTTGAATCTCCAATACAGATGGGGCTGCACGAGGTTTCTTGAATCTCCAATACAGATGGGGCTGCACGAGGTTTTTTGAATCTCCAATACAGATGTGGCTGCACGAGGTTTCTTGAATCTTTCGTAAGCTCAGCTGCTTTTCAATTTCTAAGGATTCATAGTAAGCTGGAATTCACTGCCGGACTAGATCTGTTGTTGTGGACAGCATTCTCCAGTGTTCTTGTTATAAAAATTACACAGATGGTACTGCTCTGTTTAGAGCTTGGGATGTTTCCGAAGAATGATTTTATGTTTGTGAATATGACAGCTTTTTATTCAGTCAAACTGGTGCATACTGTCTACGGGGGTACTTTTCATTCGTTGCTCCTTGTGTTATTCATAAGCCCATATTTTGAACCCTGTATAGCATGAATATAACATGCTTTACTTATAAAATACATCTGCTGTGTAAAAGATGAGTGTTTGGAAGGGCCGAATGTAAGGTGCCCAATTTGTGACCCTTTGAAAATAAAGTTCGTTCTTTCGTTCATGTCCTTATGATTCTATTATTTACAATTGACGCTGGTGTTTTCTTAAAGCAGAACATTTCTTCGATCTTTGTTTGACTAATAATTTATGTACCCCCTGAAAAAAATAGAATGTACAGATATCAGCTGACGTGGGGAGGGTGTTTGGAAATCAGTTCTCATGTGCAGCGATACGTGGTAATTATTTTAGCAGCCTATTCCACACTCTATGAAAAACCCACATATCACACAAGAGTGACCACATGAGAGTGAAATGCCTATGAAAAGTGTACAGTTGGGTGTTTTGAAAAATTATCCTTTGCTTAGTTTACTCAATTTACTGCAGACATGCTGATTGTTGGCTTTGAATCGACGAATCTCTTTGCATTTATCGCAAAAAAAAAAAAAAGCAACATGAAAACTATATGTTTGTTTACATAAGAATAATATTTACAAAGGTATGATTTTCAACAAAATGCACGCCAAATTTGAACTACTTACACCAACAGGATACTGACTTACAGATTTTTAAAGTTCGGCAAGACTTCTGAAACGGATTGTAGCCATGCAGCCCTAAATCTTCAGCCTCAAAGATCCCAAACTTCGCCACAATAGTGGTAAATACAGGCAGTAAACCCTTCTCCCAACACCCAGTTGCTCAATCCTAATACACAGTAAATGGATTAGTTGCGTATCCCTTACAGGAGGTTGCAGAACCAACCCTAACAGCTCCTGCTGTTGTGTGGTTTTACTAGGCAAATTTACGTCCAGTAGTTTGCCATTGCTTCCTGGACGGTCGGCTTTCTTGATACCACTGTCGAAACCAACGTAGGGCGCATGTCCTGCAGCTGGGATCGAACCCGGCATTTCGTAGCGTTCGCATCGACTTAGCCACAGAGTCGACACACAGTAAATGACTCCATGATTATACCGGACAAATGTCTTTTGGTCAAGATCCTATTGGCCTCTATCAGCCGAGATTGTGCGCGCTTCCATTCTCTTCAGACTAAATAAACGTAACCTTTCATACATGTATTATGTGGAGTTTAGAATCTTATATAGCGCGTTTCAAAACTCTTGCTCTCACAATTTAACAAATATCTCGAAAACGTATCTATGAATTAGTTCGAAATTTCGGATGTGGTCTTCTTAGATCTCACAAGTCCTTATTCCTGTATAATATACAACTGCTCAGTGGCTGCTGTTTTCTTTACTTGCCATTGCCAGTTGTCCAAGAAAAATTCCAAACTTGATCCTCTTTCAGCCGCCCGAGGGCCCTGTTTTCTTTATGCGGCGATTTTTTTTAAAAATCTCTGTTTGACTACTAATTTATGTACCCATGAAAATTGAATATACTATAAATATATATATATATATATATATATATATATATATATATATATATATATATATATATATATCCCAGGTCGATATATATATATATATATAGATATATATATCTTGGCTCCCAGGTCGACCTAGCATGGAGGTTGTAAATCACTTCATATATTCAGATTTGCGTGGTGATTATTTTGTTTGGTAGCCTATCCAGCATAAATGAAAAATCTGCAAGTCACGATAGAATAATGCTAGAGATGACCACCCGAGAACAAAACGCATCTGACATGCATGCAGTTTGATGTTTTGAAATGTTCCTGGTACTTAATTAACTGTATACATGCTTTAAATCGGTGTCTGTTTTATTAATATACCGCAAATAAGGCAACATGATGCTTCTTGACATTACAAACAATATTTTGACAAGGACATGATTATTAACACGTTCCATGCCAAATTTTAATAACGTACACCGAACAGTGACTGAATTACATATTTTTAATGTTGGGCGGGATTTATGCAACGGACTATAACTGCTATGCTTTTGGTTAAGAAAACTACTGTAAGTTCATTTGTTAAATATCGGGAGCCGAGGTGATGCTGTGGCTAGAGCCTTGCCTGCTGGCCTGGAAGTCCTGAGCTCGAATCGACATAGAGGTCGATTTTTAGAAAATATCCTTGGCTCCCAGGTCGACCCAGCCTTAAATGGGGTATCGGATAAAGTCCTGGGAGGTGAAGGCGGTCGGCATCACGTTGGCCACATCACCTATCGAGCGCTGAGTGGGCGCTGTACACAAAAACCCTGGCGACAAGCTTCATCATATAGTCTGACTCTAACCCAGTCAGACAGTGTTATCGAGTTCACTAGTCTTAAATGCAAGAAGGATGTTACATTTTCGAAGAAAGATTAGACAGTGCTGAACAAGATGCATTCAGAAATGATAATAATAATATAATAATGTAATAATACAAACATCAACAATAACGACAGCAACAGAAGAGACAAAAGAAGTACAATGAGAAGAAAAAGCAAGCTAATGTTGAACATACCTTAGAACGTAACTGTACGTATTGTGTTAGACTGGTAACACACTTCCAAACACTGAAAATTACATTACAGCTGGCGATGATATCAGGAAGGCGCAATGGTTTACTTATGGTAATGAACATGTAATACTTTAAGAGTGATAAAGTTGGCTCTTTCATTTATGTGTGTGAGAGAGATGAGAGAGAGAGAGAGAGAGAGAGAGAGAGAGAGAGGAGAGAGGCAGGTCATTGTTGGTTAGTGTACAGGATCCTGAACAAATCCTTCCTCGTGTGGAATTTGGACTTCTTGGAGGTGGTACGGGGGCATTGGCCACTTCTCCTTGATGAGCATGTCGTCACAAGCAACCGATTAAGGTTTGCCGAAAACGTATGTGCTTGACCTAAAAGAGCAGATACCACAGCCCAGCTTCAAACCACAACACAGTGCGCCAATCGCCCTTCTATGAATGAACACCGAAGAAGAAGGATATACTTGCCGATCTTACATATATGTGTGTTGCAGAACTTTTCCAACTGTATCAGAGATTTAGCGCCTCCATTGTTGACCCTGAATGTCAACTGACTGAATCCTTGCGACAGGTCTCCGGATATACAGAATAATGCCGGTGGACCAATTGTCTGTACTCAAAATAGGGTCGGCGTCTGTAGCTTAGACATTACAACTGCGCTTGGTAATGCCAAGGTGAAAGGTTCGATCCCAGCTGCATGCGATTTGGCAGCATTTCGCGTTGCGTTGGTTTCCACAGTGATATCGAGAGTCGACCGTTTTGTGCAATGGCAAACAACAACGTAAATTTGCCTAGAAAAACCGTAAATAAAATTTAAAAAATGCTAGAATGGTTCCACAACGTCCTTAAGGGACACGCAAATACTTTACTCAAAAGAGCACACACAATTGCGCTGTATCTATATAATTTGTATTCTTGTCCAAACTTGTGGCTAAAGTCAATAACAAGTTTGCTTTTTATTTTTCACCAGAACCAGCCAGGATACGGAGTCTACTTGTTATGAAAGTGATAGCGATTATGACCTAGACCTGGACAGCTATCAGCCTGTTCGACCTCTGGCCAGCGAGCACGATGTCATGCTCATCACACCGAGGATTCTGGATCTGAGCCTACATACTCTGCAGGTGAGAGGTTCAGGCATCATAACAGCAGTTAGCCAATTCTCATTGTTGATCTCTTTCAGTGCCAGCTTTCCCAATGTGGATTCCAAGGCCCCATAGTGGGGGAAATCAAGAATAGACCTACTTCCTCCCCAAGCATGTTGTAGGAGTCGACTAATTGGGGGCTACCTTTGAAGTCGAAATGCATCTGCTCGAGCTGCAAGAAACAACCAGTCGCACACTAATGAGACAGTAAAACGGATGTACACGCAGCATTCTGGCCTTTTTACAAAGCCAAAATCTAAATAGTGATACAATCAGGACAATTCGCATGAACTTAAGCATGTGAACAAAGAAGAAGAGGGTACCAACTAGATATAACTTGGACTCCACTCAACCATACACTTTATTGATGAATGAATGCATTCGGGACATTCCAACACGTGCTCTGTCTCGTTCTTCGGTAGCCAGCGAAGACTTCCCATGCTAACAGTGCCAGATGCAGCCTGATTAAAAGTCCGCCTGTATTTTTACCCTCAGCGTTGAATGTTGCCGAGAACCTCTATACGCTCTTCAGTGACTTAGTACCACAAAGTATAGCTAGCGGCTCTGTGTGTTCTTTTGGGCTCTTTACATCATTCCGGAGAGCCTAGACAGTCTTAAGTAGCCATTTTTTTTAGTTTTTTTAGTTTTTTATATAGCCCAAACCCTATGGCGTTTGGTAGTTATGTCTATTCACAACCTTTTGTCTCATGTACTTTCAGTCTGTTCTGACGCAGGCGATCTTCCATGCTATGATGTTCCAGCATATTTTCTCTCAGACTATCTCTGCATCCTCCCCCCCCCCCCCCCTTCCCCCTCAAACTTTCCACTCGTCATGATGTATTCAAGTTTTCATCTTTTCATTAGATGGTTTAGGAATGCTGGCTATAATTTCTCTTCACGTTTCTGTTTCTTTCAAAACATCTTCATTCCTTTTTTTTAAAAAATCTGTCCACGGTGTTTTCATTATTCGTTTGTAAAACCACATCTATGCCGCTTCCAAATAACGTTTCGCTTATCTTTCAACTGTCCATGATTCACTTCCATATATCAGTAAATGATTCACGTAGATCTTGACAGTTTTTTTTCGAGTCTATTTTACTTCTTCTTCTTCTTCTTCTTCTTCTTCTTCTTCTTCTTCTTCTTCTTCTTCTTCTTCTTCTTCTTCTTCTTCTTCTTCTTCTTCTTCTTCTTCTTCTTCTTCTTCTTCTTCTTCTTCTTCTTCTTCTTCTTCTTCTTCTTCTTCTTCTTCTTCTTTTTCTTCTTCATCTTCTTCTTCTTCCTCTTCTTCGTCTTCTTCTTCTTCTTTTTCTTCTATTTTCTTCTTAGCTTTCAGTTTCTTATTCTAAGGTCAGACCGTCGGGTTGACTGCCTCAATTAATTCGCAGGTCAGTTGCAAGTACTCCATGGTTCCTTATAGCTTGCTCTGCACACTTTAGGTTCAAAGAATTTAAAATAATAATTCACTGGGACAGGAGGAAGTTGTCTAATAATTATCACAGAAAGGTTAGAGTATAATCCTTCTGCGGCAGAAAACAATCAGAGACATTAAGTCCGTAGACTAACCAGTGGACGTATGCCTTGTGTTTGGTACAGAAAGGGTTGACATCAATCTACTGTGTAAATATTTCAAAGGTTAAGAAACGGTTCTAACTAAAGCCACCGGGCAATACTGAGGATTCACACTGAAAGGTCCAAGTGAGTGCTTTTTCCTAACGGAATTGTAGTTGGTGGGCACAATATAAATTTGACACAGTCTTGATAGCAATAAGTCAGAAAGAACTACCGGAAATGCGAGACGTTTTGGTGGTAGAAAGTGAAAGAATGGGCCTCAGTTTAAATAATGGGAAGACTGAAGTAATGGTGGTATCAAAGAAAAGAATTATTCCTAAGTGTGTAATAAAAGTAAGTGGTGTTATTTTTCGACAAGTACAGACATTTAAGTGTCTGAGGACATGGATAACTGAGATAAGAAACAGAATAGGAAAGTCAAAAACTGCATTTTAAAAAAATGAAGAACATCTTATGCAATAGATCTATGTCATTGAGAGTTAGAAATAGAATTCTTGCTTGCTACATATATCCAGTTTTAACATATGGCTGTGAGTCCTGGACATTTCGTAGGCATGCTAAAAAAAAATGTTGAGGCCTCATAAATGTTGTTTTACAGAAAAATGCTTAAAATACCTTGGACAGCCAAAATTAGCAGCCAGGAGGTTTTGAAAGAGGCGGGAGCCCGAAGACAACTTATCACACATATCAGAAGGTGACAGTCATCATTTTTCGGCCATGTTATGAGAACCTGGAAAATGGAATATGTTGTGACCACTGGAAAGATCTGTGGAAGGAGGGATAGAGAAAGACAACGAAAAAAGATTACTGACAGTCTTGTTGCATGGCATAGAGTTGTGTCAGCACACGAACTGATACATGCTGCAAGAGATCGCAGATTGGGGAGAGGCATGATCGCCCACGCCAGTCGGCAAGGCACCTGATGATGACACAGTAGATTATTGGCACAATTGAGAAAAAAAAGGACACACATCGCTCCTGAAAGGAACATAATAAAAACAATATTTTTAACATTTAATTTCGTTGTTATTTATTGAGTAAGATTTGTTTTAGTTGCACACAAGAATAGGGTTCGAGCGATTAACTGACAGTTGTTTAGCACCTGTCATTGATAGCGCTGAGGCGTGCCAGCTTTCCCATCAGCAGTTTCAAAGTGTTATCGGATCGCTATGCGTTTCTTGCCTGCGTTTGTAAAAATAACAAGTCGCTATTGGATCAGTTTCCGTTGTTTTTACACAATATAATAACAATCTGCGATGTGCTGATGACATTTTTTGAAATCGCTAAAATAACATATGTTTACAGGAAATGATACGCTCTCTTTTTTTTTTTTAAATAGAAAGTTAAAACAAAATTCTTAATTACCATGAGCTGTTAACTCTTTGGCTCGGTACTATGGATATCGCAACCCTTCGGCCCTGATTCCATGATAGATACCGTACATCTGGGAGAAAGGTGGCTTTTCTGCCTACCCCTGGGCGTGAACCCGGACCACAAGGAAGTTCTTCACCCGATCGCCTTTAAGTCCGGTTTTTCCACCTACGCTATCTAGCCGGACCAGAATAGCTTACAAATAGACGCAACGATAATTACAAAGAAACAATATCTTCTTGAATACAGAATACGTGAAAATCTTCTGTAGCAGGTCCATTGTGTTCAAATGTCAAGGTACCTTGACAACAGATGATAAAACATGTATTTTAAAAGTGCAACGGACAATGGCAGCAAGAAAAGTAGCGTTTCACAAGATGAATTATTTAAGCCATACATCTTTGTAAAGTTTGACGAGAAAAAAAAGAAGAGAGTCATAAACAATGAAAATACAAGTTAAAGATTATTGGCGAAGCTACAGAGAAACGGGTTTATTGAGGGGTGATGATAACATGCTGTACAGATAATACGCGTAATGAATACTTTTTTAACCTGTTTTTCGTAACAATATGAAAGTCATTCTTTTTCTTCTTCTTCTTCTTCTCCCTCGTCCTCCTTTTTCTTCCTTCTTCTTCTTGTTTCTTTCTTCTTCTTCTTGTTTCTTTCTTCTTCCCTCTTCTTACTTCCTCTTCCTTCTTTTTCTCCTCATTCTATTCTTAATATTCCCTTTCTCCTCCTCATTCTTCTGCTTCTCGTTCTCTTCAGCTTCTTCGTTTTTTCCCTCTCTTCCCCTCCCTCTTACACAATTAATTTATGTTTTAAAATTTTGGCAGTCCGTTGTATGTTTTCTGATAACTGACAGTTTTTCTCGCGGGCGAGATAGCGAAATCCTTATCACCACCTTGTTCCTCTTGAGAGCCAACGCTCTCGCAGGAAATGTTCCGTTGATTGTCTCCCCTTCATTACAAAGCAGTAATATTTGTATGTCTAGCTTTCAGTTTGTCAATCAAATATTTGAAAAATAGATTATATTGTAAGAAGACCTGAGGTCCCCCTATTTAAGAAATTAGATCTTTATCTGCATCGTTAATTAGTAAAGTGTGTCTAGGTGACCGTTTTGGCGTCTTTTTAAAATCTAGGGTGTTTTTTCTTCCTTTTTGTTTCCTCTTTAAGCTACGTTTTTTTTTTTTTCAGCCTTTTTTTTAAGCTAGGTTTAAGTTGTTGTTATTTTCATACATATCCTTACGTCCTTTTTAGGACGTAATTTTTTTTTTTTATTTGAAGCCCCACCCTGGTTTTTGCTGGGGGCCGCAATATAGGCAGGCCATAATTATGGCCAATTGTCTGATCGCGGTTTCTGGGACCTCTCCACGGTGACCCTCATCTTTGTGTCATCGGGTGTTTATCGCTTGTGTGATGTCCTGGTGGGTTAGAAAGTCAGTCAGTCAGTCAGTCAGTCAGTGTCATTTTTTTAAGCTAAACTGGTTTTTCTTTTCAGCGTCCTTTTAAAGCTAGGTTTTTTATACAATTATTTTGTTGTTCGATTTAGACATCACTAACTAAGCTACAGCTTGTGGCCTCACAGTCTGCAGGGGCCTCAAAAATTCAATTTTTGCTGTTGTTTACACATTCAGTTTTCCTTTTTTTGAGGAGTATATATATATATATATATATATATATATATATATATATATATATATATATATATATATATATATATATATATATATATATAGTTAGTTAGTTAGTTAGTTGGTTATCCTCATTGCACTGACATGTCCATGCTCAGATTTCAGACCCCAACGATGGCTAATAGTACCAGTTCTATATATAACTTTGATGTGATGTTTCAGACACATTTTCACACAGCATCCTTTCTTAGCTAGGTCTTTGTCTTCAGCATCCTTTTTATTATCCGTTTGTGTTTACATCTTCCTTTTGAAGCTAGAATTTTGTTTTCAACGTCCTTTCTAAGTTCTGTTTTTGTTTTTAGCGTCTTTTTTAATCTAGGTTTTGTTTTTAGTGTCAATTTTTTAAACTAGGTTTTGTTTTTAGCGTCTTTTTTAAGCTAGGTTTTGTTTTTAGTGTCTTTTTTAAGCTAGGTTTTGTTTTTAGTGTCATTTTTTAAGCTAGGTTTTTGTTTTGTGTTCTTTTTTAAGCTGTTTTTGTTTTCAGCGTCCTTTTAAAGCTAGGTTTTCAACCATTGCTGGATTAGGGCATCACTAACTAAGCTGTATATTGTGGCCTCACAGTCTGCAGGGGCCTCAACAAATTCCAATGTGTTTGTTTTTTGATACATGCAATTTTTTTTTCTTCGAGGGGTATATATATTTAATTTATGTGATTTTGCAGACATATATTTTTTCAATTATTTCTGTACTAAAAATTAAACAATTTATTTCATCATCCGAATATTTAAGAGTAGTTTATACTTTGAGTCGGCGTCTGTTGCTTAGGTGTTGCGAACGTGCCTCGTAATGCTACAGTGCGGGGTTCGATCCCAACTGTGGGCTTTGCTCCTTGCGTTGGTTTCGGCAGTGGTATCGAGCAGCCGACCGTCCAGAGGCAGTGGCAAACTATTTTACATAAAATTACCTAGAAAAACCACAACAGCCATAAAATGCCTAGAGTAAGTTCTGCGCTGTCCTGTAAAGGATAGGCAACTAACTTTTAACCATTTACTTCAAAGTTGTCTGACACCAGCTCGTGTAACTGAAAACAGTAAGTGCTTCAGAGCTTTATTAGGGCCTCGTCAGGTCTAATTCCGGTCCTGATTTTAACGTATGCAGTTGCATTCAACTGACAATTTTTAATTAACATACCCAAAGTTAATGTCTGTTATAAATATCAGCAGAACAATCTGTTCTGCAGTGGATTCCAGGTTCCCTGTGGCTTAGAAGGCAATGAAATAGCGGACGGATCACCAGAAGCGACAGTGACATGGTACAATCAAATCGTGACCTAACCCACCAAGAGACTAAGACATTAATACAATCTAGTATCCAAGAAAGATGGCTTGATACACGCACCACATTCTCTCATCGTCTTTCTAGAGAGGGACAATGTGTTATATTTAGGCTAAGGACACGGAACATAGACTTCGCCAACGTACGATGAAACTTTTAGGTGTGGCACCCGAAATTGCTGAACGTGTGCTTCAACACTATCAACGGTATGTTGACAACAGAGACGCAGTCTGGCCTGTTCCATCCACAATGAAGACAAGGCTGTATGGTACACGAGAAGGTATAGACTGTACAATAGCTTTCATTAAGGCTAGCGGCCACCTGGTATAAGTTGTTTGACAGAAGCATTGAAGAAGGGAAAGAAGACGAAGTATCGGTATTTCATGAACTCTTTGCATTTTAACTGTTAGTGTAGCTCATCCCATATTAATTTCCCTGTATCTCCTATAGACCTTAGGGCGTAGTGCTCTGTGGTAGAACTCCGAGGGTAGAAACTGTTAAAAAGCTACTGGCTGGACTTGACAGAGATAATTATTGACTTCGTCCTCCCCGTGTGCTTTCCGAGGTCTCATTATAGGGTAGTGGAGAACAGACCCACTGACCCACTAACCAGCTTGTCGTAAACGTCAGCTAATGAGGATGCTTCATTCGAGGTCGGAGTGCATCTGCCTGAGAGGCAAGGAACCAACAGTCTGCATACAATTGAACGACACCTGTAAGACGTTGTGCACGCAATACTCAAGTTCTGAAACAAGACTACAGTGCAAAAGTGAACAGTCAACTAAAACTTTCCCCCGGAGTTTACAGCTGATAAACGAGAAAAAGGGATAGAGTTTATCTTAGTGTATATTTATATACTATATATACTATGTTCTTTAAGTGGCATATTTATTTCATTCGCATTACCCCAACTCCTTGTCTATATGTATTATATTTTCAAATACTTCAGATGATTATTCACTTTTACCATTTTGATGTGTAGCTGTTGTCTTAGATACAGTACCCACTATGTCGTTCTTCTTTAAGATTTAACTGACACATGGAAACCAGCGAATCATATTGCCCTTTTCGTTGGTCATTAATTATCTCGCGTACTGCCAGTCGTTCCTTATATAGAAATTCTTCTATGCCCTGATGCCATGCCGTTTAAAATCTTCTCACATTTTATCTCACACACACTCTTCACTCCTTCCCTCCCCCCCCCCCCCCCCTTTTTTCCTTTTCCTTTTTTTTTTTTTTCAATACAATGACGTACTTCGGTATTCCCTATCTTAAGAGATTCACAAAGAATGAGTGGGCTGTTGTCTTTTGATGTCAGTAAACAGTTCTCTTTGTGGTATAATTTATTTCCAGGACATCTTAATTGCGATTTTTATCAGGCCAGTGTTTACTCATCATACTTCTATAATAATATCACAAAGTATGTTGCCTTCTCATAATTTCTAACCAATCCCGCGACTTCATAATTTTCTTCCCTGTGTAGCACTGGCTCCATATAATTGTTGCCGGATGTAAACAGAAGAACCCAAGCATAGTGCACGTAACCTCGTGGCACTAGCGAAGGTCCTTGATAGATCACACACACAAACACACACACGCACCACGCACACGTAGACACTTACGCACACAATGTGATAGACCCCACACACACACAGACACACACCACACCCATCTACCCACCCCCTCACCCACCCACCTACCCCCTCCTAACCTACCCCACCGCGCCCAGTTGTTAATCTGAGCAGCGCAATCTGAAAAGGATCCACGAGCTCACAGTCCCTTCATCAACAATACAGAACAGAAGTCGTAGGTGCGAACACGCTAAGAAAGATATTTTGGAGACAATCGGATCGCTTAATGAGAATGCTCGACATCTGAAATGACCAGTGAACAGTAACTGTGGTTGTTAACAGCTCTCATCACCACATTAGCTTTGCGCGCACATTCGTTTTACAGATCTTGCTCAATCGTGTGCAGAGTGTGGGTTCCTTGCCCCCCAGGCAGATGCACTCCGACTTAGAAGGGAGCAAGCATGCTTGCCGTGCATTGAAGATCATTATGTAATTACCAATGAACAGTCAATATGATTGTTAACATCTCTCAACGGGACCTGATTTGCCAAAGATGTTTTGCATAATGTGCTTCTTCTTCTTCTTCTCTGTCTCGTTTACCGGTTGTAAACGCTGGCGGAAAGTTCTCGTTTTGTCCATTTCTGTACTTTAGTCCTGTTTCAGCAACGGAGTGTTTGCATTTACATTTGTTTCACAGTTCTGACTCATGTGCATGCAGACTGTTGGCTCCTTGCCACTCAGGCAGATGTATTCCGACTTCAAAGGAAGCTCCCAGTTAGTCGTCTCTTACGACATGTTTTTGGGTAGGTAGTGGGTCTATTCTTATTTCGACACAGGGATCATTATGTTCTAAAATACGGCTTCTCGTGGAACCTTTTCCCTTCTATCGTCTGTATTTTATTCACTGATAGGAACTTTGTATTTTCTCCTTGTCTGTTTAGATTCTCAATCATGGAACAACGCTGATCCAGTGGGATGAAGATGGAGGTCGATCTTCTCTGTGTGTACTTCGTCTGGAGGCAGATAACGCCACCCTCACATGGTGCCGACCTGGCTGGAGTGCTCTGCGTGGAGTTACCTCTCCACCCGACTTTACTATGCATGCTGATCAGTCCCATGCGTCTTTAAGAATTCTTTACGCCCGCTATTCCAGTGGCAGTGAGGACAATTATAGCTCTCTAGAAGAAGGATATTTGGATGTAATGCACATTAAAGAAGTTTACCTGGGTGATGAATCAGTGGACTTGTCTTCCATAGCCAAAAGACACGGACTTGAACTAAGTGACGCGGAACACAAATGTATCACAGTGGTCCATGGAAGCTGTATGTCGACTAACCACAAGCTTTGGTTCATTGGCCCTAAGGGCGTAACAATGGCTTGGTACCAGGGTTTATGCAAGCTTCGAGTGGCAGCAGTGAAACTGAAGAATCAAATGGATAAACGAGTCCAGTGGTTGAAACAACAGTATCTTCAGTTGTACTATGAAGGGGAAAAATGTCAAGGACCAACACCTGCCGAGGCTATTAAGGTAAGCTTTAGGAATCGTGTTGTTAGTTAAAATGTATTGGTCTCAGTAGAGATCACTGTGCTGATCATAATGGTGTCGTTTTCTTTCGCTACATCATGCGAAAGAGAAAAGTACAATACATCTGTTAGGAAAATTAAATAAGTGATAGATTGAGGTAGAACATTAGGATTCTCCAAAGTGGTTTTTTTTAAAAAGATCTTTAATGCATGGCCTCTCCAAAACAATACTGCAGGGCTCAGTAGAAGGAAAAAGGAGAAGACGCAGACCAAGAAAGACTTGGTTACAGAACCTGACTGACTGGACAGGCCTCGGGCCTGCAACCATGAAGTCCATCGTAAATGACCGCCAGAGGTGGAAAGAGCTGATCAGATGGTCAACAGAAACTGTTGACGCAACGACACGTTGTGTTACGTGATGGTGATGATAATGCATTGAAATTTTAATCAACACATGATGGGTGAGTTTCGGGGGCATCATCAATCATCAGATCTTTAACAGAACGTCGCTCTCGTCACGACACATCTGAACGTATCCCTTTCTCTGGCTAATTCTCCTGCCTTGTGTGCTTTCATAGCCAGTGCATCTGCAATGTCTTGTATCCATGTTCGCCGTGGTCTGCCTCTGCCTCGCTTTAGGGAAACTGTACCCTCCTTAGCCGTTCTCTTCGGGTCACCGTGATACGTATCCGAAATACCTCAGCTTTCGAGACAGGATGTTATTTGTGAGCCAGTCTCCTAGATGTTCAGATTATCTCAGAGTGCATGTAGGATCACAGGAGTGGCTGTGCGAACGGTTAGAGTGCTGGGATCTCATGCGGGACATCTGGGTTCAAATCCTCGGTAAGGCTGGGGATTTTTTTTTCTGTTGGGGCAAAAATAAAATCCTCACCCGCACAGTCCGTGGCGACAGCACTAGCAATACGGCCTTAAATGGTCAGGCTCCAAGAATTCCCCCCCCCCCCCCCACAGCTCCTCTCTGCACCGCTAAGGTGGTATAATAAACGGGTAGTGATTGGCAGTTGGTAAATGTCATGTAGGATCGAGAGTAGTTGAACTTAATGTCTGAGGTGGTTCCAGCTCTCTTTAGTCTTTCCATAGGTGTCTTCTTCTTCTTTTTTTTTTTTTTCAAGCTTCGAGCTTAACTCTTTTAGTCTCAAGCAGCGAACAATGTCACATGGAATCTACCCCTTGATCCAGCTTCATAGCGTAATGTGACTAATACTTCCTAAATTTGTTTACCACATAGTGATCAAATCTGGCTTTCCCACAAGCACTAAATATGTGTTAAATGTATTTTTTAAAGTAATATATTCAAGGTTGTTGTTGTTGTTGTTGTTGTTTTTAATCATGGCTATTTCTTCACTTTGGCATTTCATGTGAACCCTTCCGGCACTGATAGAGTTAATAAAGTAAGCTTCAAATGTTTGACACGCCCCTTAGACTTTTCCAGCGCCTACAACTCCCCAAAAATTGCCTTTATATTTATTTATTCGCTCTCTACCCCGCTTGCAAAATGGTATTTTGATCATATAACCAGTTAAAGGGGGATTTCCCCCCAAACATTGCATGCGCTTCATGGTTGGCCAACAGATAAACGGAATCAGACATCTGGTGTCATACTGATCACAACACAGAAATAATGCCCCTAAAAGTATCATGTTTTATTTTTGTCTGACTAATTATTGTATATTTCTGACATTTCTACATGTTGTATTATCATTTCGTGGGTTTGCTCCCTGGTAGTGCAGGGCTTTTTTTTTTTTTTTTTGGTTCTTAAAAAATTACCTTGGCTTCCAGGTCGACCCAGCCTTGAGTGGGTACCGGGTACTGTCTCGGAAAGTAAAGGCGGCCGGCGTGATGCTGACTACATCACCCATCTTGTGCCAATTGGTCTATGAAATATAGGTCTAGCCCTATACGCCTAAAGGCGTAAAAAAAAGGGGTCCTTTACTTACTTTTCACTTACTTACGTATTAACATTTATCTCCCTTGTTTACAACACATGGGATGCAATTTTTAATGATTTGAAGCGCCACCCTGGCTTTTGCCAGGGACCCTAAATATAGCTGGGCTTGAAATATGGCCTAACGGCTGAACGGGGTTTCCGGGACCTCTCCATGGATGACCCTCATCCACATGGTGGCACTTTGTGTCACCAAATGTTTATCGCTTGTGTGATGTCCTGGTGGGGTATAACTTCATACATACCGTCAAATTGCATGTACATGTAGTACAGAACAGGCTCACTGAACCGCTGTTACTGCCAGATTTTTAATTACAAACGGTTGGGCTAAAGCTTCGTCGAGGCAGATTTGTATAATTAGGATAGATTCTCAGGTCGTCCCAGTCTAAGAAAGGTGCCAGGATATATCCGTGAATATAATGTTGACCGTTTTGTGTTGATATGATAAGATCACTTTTCGACTGCCGGTTGGTCTATAAAATAAGGGGCACTTTTTCCCTCGTCTTCAGGTATATTAGCTCATAGTGCCTATACCTCATTTTGGAAACAAACAAAGTCCTGCTCCGTTAGGATTTGAACCGACGACTTTTAGAGAGTACCTAGTCGCAACAGCACGACGCCTTCCCTATAAAATATACGTCTTTCAATATTTTTCGGAAGCACAAATGAGATATGAAGTGTAGTTTACTTCTTGGGATGGGGGGAGGATTTTCTAAACCATCCACAGGAACCACTGATTCACCGGCACATCACAATCATGATACACCTTGATTGTGTTGCCCTATTATTACATTTGCTGTGTTAAGCTTCTCGCGTGGCTTTTCTTCATCTCAGCGGTCGTTATCTTGTTTAATTGGCCAACAATTTTTGTTATTGTATGTGCGCGCACACACACACACACACACACTTACAATATTTATATTATGTTGTGTATATATATATATATATATATATATATATATATATATATATATATATATATATATATACAAACACACACACACTATTTATATATATATATATATATATATATATATATATATATATATATATATATATATATATATATATATACAAACACACACACACTATATTATATATATATATATATATATATATATATATATATATATATATAAATATATATATATATATATATATATATATATATATATATATATACACAAACACACACACACACTATATATATTAACACACAAAAAACACACACACGCTATATATATATATATATATATATATATATATATATATATATATATATATATATATATAAACACATACACACACACACACACACACACACCAGTTCCTTTTGTTGAAATTTGAATCGTCAGATTTGGTAGAAAATACTAGATGTTCTCGTTTTAATTATTGAGAATATGTGAATACACTGATCACTATACACAAGATTAGATGCTGAGATGATCGACTCCCTTATACCGGGCAGTATCCTAGATAGCGGAGAACGGCTAGCGCCTGTCGATCGAGTACGTCTTACGAAGTATTTATTTCCTGCACCAATTCCCAAGAATCTGAGTAGATATTTCACCCATGAACCGAATCACGCAGTCCGTACAATAAACCTGGCGTAACTGTTAAGCCACAGAGACCCACTTTAATTATGTAAAGTAAAGGACCCCTTTACCACGCCTTTAGGTGTATTAGGCGTACAGGACAATACCAAAATGTTATAGACTAATCGGCACTGGGTGTGGATAATGCGGCCAACATCTCACTTTAAATATGAGACAGGAATTGTCCAACTGTCCGACAGGCTTTTCAGGGAGCAGTGGTGGAAACGATGTTCTATGAAAGACCTCATACACGATGATGATGATGACGGTAAAGATGAAAAATTCCATAAAAAATGGCATGCCCCTTCTGATTCATTCTGTTTCAGGATGATAAAAATGCACCGGAAGCTAACATGTTTAAAAAAAAAGAATGCATTTCAAATATTCATGAGCTTAAATTGGTCTAGCAATCCGAGATATTCCACATGCGGATGTCTAAATCCGGCCCTAATAATAAAAGGGGTGAATAGTGTTCAGAAGGGAATATTGATATGTTAGCGCAGAGAGCCTTTCTCTTGAGGCTAACTTACCACGAATTCTATACACTTTGGTCCATCTAGTCGGCTCTGTGGCTAAGTCGATGCGAACGCTTCGTAATGCCGGGATGCCGGGTTCGATCCCATCTACGGGCCATGCGCCTTGCGTTGGTTTCGACAGTGGTATAAAAAAAAGCCGACCGTTCAGCAAGCAATGGCAAACTACTGGACGTAAATTTGCCTAGAAAAACCACACAACAGCCAGGCGCCGTTAGGGTTGGTTTCTGCAACGTCCTGTAAAGGATACGCAGCTAACCGTCCTCCATCTAGAAAAGAAGAATGTACCTTGTGACAGCCGTTCTGGTGAGGCTAACCTACCACGAATTCTACACACTTTGGTCTATCTAGAAAAAAAGAATAGACATTATGACAGCCGTTCTGGTCAGGCTAACTTACAACGAATTCTATACACTTTGGTCTCTCTAGAAAAGAAAAATTACCTTTTGACAGCCGTTCTGGTGAGGCAAACTTACCACGAATTCTACACACTTTGGTCTATCTAGAAAAGAAGAATGTACCATGTGACAGCCGTTCTGGTGAGGCTAACATACCACGAATTCTACACACTTTAGTCTATCTATAAAATGAAAATTTACCTTGTGACAGCGGGAAAGTTGAAAGGGAAGAATGGTAAAGGTTTAAACAAGAATGGACATCACAGCATTTGAGATATTCTCATGAGCGCTCCGCCCCCCCCCCCCCCAACTTCACAGCAAGAGTAGGGTTCCAACGCCGATGGTACTAGTAACAGTCTCACTGTATATCCGTCTCGCCTTTACCTTGAGTGTTGAGCGTCAGTCAGATTCCCTTGGTCACTCCTGGCAGCACAGTTTACCCTAGACCCGCTGTCATTTAAAAAAATGATGGGCTTTGTTAGGACCTAAAGCTACGACCTCCGGATCCTTGG